AAGGAAGAGAGATGAGAAATGGCATTCTTCTGCCATTGATAAACCATGTTGTGCTACGGATTTAGCAAAAACTGGGAGCCATATAACAAGATCATCATAAGGAAACTGGGTATCCACTCTTGATAGGTCCACAAAATTTTGTCTAAGACTGTTCTCTACATTAAATTATTCAAAATGTTATTAATTAATAGCTTCCGTCATCATTCAAAACTTGTTTCTTTATAGGATCCTACATAAGGTCAGTAAAGAACTTGCTGAGTCGTATTTTCAAGATGGCTATGCAGTGCTGGCTGCTTGTTGCCATTTGGCTGTTGAAAATATTGAGGTAAATACCTTATACAGATTATGTAAAAATAAGATAGTTTACCATGTTGGAATATCCTGAATGTGAAGAAGTATACGTGAGGCTGAAAAAAACACATGAACAGAGTGTGGAAATAAATGTTGTACCCATATGGCTGGCTCTCTTTTTAGAAGCCCTCCCCAGAGAGGAAAAGTCATTTATGGATCTACCTCTTATGGTGGATACCAGAACTTGCAAGCAGTCAATATTTCCAAGACTGCAGATAAAAGCAGGACGCTCAGATTTCTATAAATGAGTGGATCTGCTTTATAATCTTTATATGTTAAAGAAATAGAAATGAAGTAACTATCCATTCTAGAGTAAGTAGCATGTGTTACAATCAATTTGCCATCTTTAAAAACTCAGGATTTTTTCTATTGCTGTTTGGAATAAATATTAAATCCTGCGTTTTTATCTTAAGCAAGTCACATTATGAAATAAACTTCCCATTTCACTCTGATGTTTCCAGAAACATCCCCCCTCCCATTATTTTTGTGGGTTGCAAACTGTCTTATAAAACCCAGATTTTCTGCTTTGAACTGGATTATATAGCAGTATAGACTCATATAATCCAGATCAAAGCAGATAATGTGGAATATTTTCTTTGTTCAACTGTATTATATGGCAGTGCAGAGGGGGCCTCATTGACCACAAAGATCAGATTATACTATGTAACATGATTTTTGTTCCTGTGTTATAAATGTTATTTCCTAATTGGCTCTATCATAAAAAACATGGAAAAAGTGTATTGAACTGCCAAAACTTTGTTTTTGCAGCACATTTTGCTATAGTTTTTTCAATGAATAACTCATAAGAGTCTCAACCAATCTAACACAGTTTGTGGCAGCCATAAAAACAAATTTTCTGGAGTATAACAACTACTTTCAAATTAAGTACTGTACAATTAAACAGGAAATAACACTTTCAAACTAGGAACATACTTTTTTCAAATTTTGTTACATTGTGTTATTGCTTATTAACAGAGCTGAATTCATAAATCACAAGAAGTCACATTTTTAGAGAACACATCATGTTTTGTCATGTTTTGCAAACCTATCTCTCCTAGCATGTTGTGAGTTATTAAGCAGCCCAACAACAAGCTGCAATCTGTATCCGTGATTCCTTGTTACAAACTCTGGCTTGTTTAAAGCATAGCTTGTCATGATGTCCAGATTTCTACATAGCTTATTCCTGGTTTATTTTCACACTTGGAAATCCTAAATTTGGAACTAGGAAAGGGGGAAGTAAAGAAACACACCAAAATGGAGAAGTCAACCTGTGTTTTGGTTGGTAGGTCTTCCGTGCAATTCATGGTGTTAGTGAGAAACTATTTAAGACAGATCATAGCTTTTTCTGATGTACAGACATTCCCTTTGAGTCTGATTCCATAATGCACATTTCTGTTGCACCTTAACGTAGCCTTTGAAAATAAATGTTGACATGCTGGTATCATTGAATCCTTGAAGTGCTTCTAATGCTTAATGATATGATTTTCTTATTGAGCAAGCTTGCCATGGCATACCTGATTCGTGGAAACGAACTGGAGTTGGCAGTCAGCGTGGGTACTGTCTTAGGAGAATGTGCAGCCCAAGCAACACATTATGCACTAGAGTTACTAGCAAGAAAATGTATGAGTATAACAACATGGTAAGAATGACTTACTCCAAAGAATTTTCTCATTAACAAGCCATGCACATTGTTATAGATCAAGACTTTGGATATCCAAAACCCAGCTTTTGTTTTTAAAAAAGTTTTCATTCACACACACACAAAAACAAAATTTGAACGTCATCTCCAGGAACATGTTTAGCATAATACGAATACAGCTGTCTTTATAGATTTGAAGTTTTTTTTCTCTCTCTCCGTCTCATCAAATAAAAAACCTGGTGTCCATGCTCTGATTGGCTGAGAATGGACACAAGCGGCGACTACAATTCTTGCAGTATGTCTTAAAATAATTCTAAAACAATCAGTACATTGGTGAGTTGTTTTGAAACTTGGCAGGCCTGCAGTTGTCAATGGGTCTACAACTGAGGTAGGTTTCATGCAGATAGACCTTAAAATGGCTGAGGATTGAGCGTTTAAAGTTTCTCATTGTAGACAATGGGCCAAATCTCTGTTGAATGAAATGGAAAACAACACAGATGAAAACGGACCTGGAAACGGAATCAGAAATGGCATGGCTTTTGGCCCGAATGCACATCCTTGTGTCCTGAACTAAATGGGCCTCTGTTCTAGCTGTTCCTTACTTTCTTTTCTACATCATGTCCATTTGCCAACCAAAGGCTTTACAAAAATCAAGGAAAGTATTTCTCAGAGAAAACTATTTCACTATATTTCCGTGCTCTTATTAATGCCTATACTCTTCTAACGTCCCCTCCAATCCACAGGAGTAAATTTGAGACAGAGGAGAGAAAGGGGGAAATTGCCCAAAACCACTATGTTAGTCTAGAAGGGAGGGGGCATCGATTGAATACCACATTTCAGAATCATATACTGATATCTAATCTAAGTAAAGTTTTCATTTTCCAAAATCCAATTGACTTCTCATGGTAGTGTGTCAAAGCTGGGGGTTTTTTTTGCAATGTTTTTAATTTGTATTTTTACTGCATGTTTTCATTCTCCACCTCTTGCCAATTCCATTGTTTATGTTAATATCTGAATGCAACAGTTGGTTTGTTACAATTTAAATATCTTTGTTTTAGCTTTCCATCACCTGGATACAGGTATTTGCTTGTTTCTAGAGAGATTCTAACCAACCCTTTGTGAAAATGTCCCTTGTGTTTAGATTAAAAAGAAGATTCAATGCCTTGTCTTGATGTTTCTCATAGAGGAAAAATATATTTTCAATATATGTAAAAATGATGATAAGATCTAAGAGCAGAATGTTCATCTATGAAATACATTCAATTCCTGTGTGCTTCTATGAAGCATAAGTCTGAAATGTCATAGCTTTATCCTGATAATTCAACAAGCAAATGGCTATGGCATACAAAAACAAATATTATGCTGAACTTGTAGCAGAATTAACATTAGCATTGGAGATTGGGGCATACGGATTCTTGTTCTTGTGTGCCTTCAAGTTGCTTACGATTTTTGGAGACCTTAAGAGGACAAATAAACATTTTGGCACCCATTCATCCAAGTATATTGTCCTTTTATAAAACAAATTATTGAAATTTTTGAAATTATTGACTTTGACCTGGG